TACAGATTGAGATTCATGCTCGACTCAATTAAGGAAACACCAGTCTTATGCATGATCTCGGATATGATGCGTCCACTATAGACTTTTAACAAAAAGTACATAGCGGAAAGTACATAACGTGGGAAGTCGGTAGCCTTAAATGATATACCGATGGGTCAAAAATGGGCCTCGGCGTAGGCTTTGGAATTTATGGGGAACGCGCCAAATTCAAACTTAGTATGGATTTGGGTAGATTCACCTTTATATCACCAGGCTAAGCGCCCTGGTACAACAACCAAACGTAACAACAGGGCCGTGTCAAGATGGGTTCCGGCTCACGCGGGAAATGTAGGCAATGAAATTACTGACAAGTTGGCACGGGAGGGCTCAATTTGGACCCGAACCATTTTGTGGAATCTCAAAAAGCCTAGGCCGATTGACCCTTGCCACTCTTTATCATAATAAATCACTTAAGATCTGGTCTGATACACCAGGCTTAAAACATTCTAAAACTTTAATCCGGACTTTTGATCGTAAATTCGCTTCAGTAGCGATGGTAAAAATAAATTGCACATTCTGGTAAGAACTGTGCCTGAACACTGTTTTCTTAAGAAGCACATGTCCATTCTGAGTCTAAGCAACTCAAGGATGTGCCGGTTTTGTTTCCTAACAGAAGAAATGCCTCTGCACAACCTAACTGATTGTGGACCCTGCGCAAACGTAACACTTATCTTGGAAACTATGTAAGTACTCTACCCAGAAGAAGTGAAATTGCTCATAGATAAGCAACTCCTTCCATTTGTGGCCGTGGAAGGAAAAGAGGAAATCTCCCGCCGGGCAAGGTGTTCTTCCCGGGGAGCGGCCAACGCTCCGTGTGATAGTTCGGAGATGTTCTATATATACTGTTTATGATTCGGAATTTTGATAGCGTGATTTAGGCTTCGGTGTGTTTCGCTTGCGGCGCGACGACAGTGCCGCCACATTACCCCTCTGCTCAGACCGGAGGTCGGTAGTGCAGCCTCGTTGCCGACGAATGTGCAAGTGCGAGATTGCCTTGTAGTTTGCGGTGAGTCGAGAAGAAGGCAACTAATCTGCGAGAGTGCCGTGAAGCAGAGGCGAGCAATAAGGCTCAGGGCCGTGCCGAACACTGTAGCGCAGGGTGTAGCTTGAAGGAACAGGAAGCATTATTATTCAATTGCTGCGATGAACCTTGTGAAGCTAGATGGCTTGCAGGATATGAAGACTGCAGACGATATCTGCTCGGGAGCGAATGGGTGGGGTATTTTCTGACGATGATGAAGCTTGCAGTTTCCGAAGGTTCTTGGTTGCATGTTCAGTTCACGTCGGGGTCACCACTGTGGCCGTTGAAGGAAAAGGGGAGATTTCCCGCAGGGCAAGGTATTCTGCCCGGGGAGCGGCCAACGCTCCGTGTGATAGTTCGGAGATGTTCTATATATACTGTTTATGATTCGGAATTTTGATAACGTGATTTAGGCTTCGGTGTGTTTCGCTTGCGGCGCGACGACAGCGCCGCTATATATTCATTGAACTTCAATGAATAGAAGGAGTTTCTTGTCTCAATGTCTTTGATGGAAGATATAGGGCACAAAAATTTCAATGATAGAAGACATAGGGCTTAGCAGTGAAATAAAGCCATAGCAGTAATCACAATAGTTCTTTTAGATCGCCGTGATACTGGTCTCTCACTCTAGACCTGCATAGTTTTACTTTAAACTTTCGAATGTTCAGTCAAGCAATATTGGCTGACAGGCGTATCATGCCCTCTCGTTCGGACACCAAATCTGGCCAATTGGCAGTTACTCACGACCCGCTATTAAATGAAAAACTAAACGCTGCTTAATCTTTGAAAAACATGGGTTAAAGACAAGGCCGTAATTCAATGTAGAGCTAACTTCACTGCATACAAATTTCGATTGTTTTGTTTTTGTTTTTGTTTTGCCGCGTAAAAGGAGGTTGATATAAAACTGGTAGATAGATTTTAAAAAGTTTGTTGAGTGAAAAAATGTATTGAGAAATGTGGTTTTTTTAAACTCTTTTGATATAATGTTGTATTATTATGCAAATAAAACAAATACCTTTTGACGTAATGGTTTAATTTCATAATCCTTACCCTGTTTGTACAAGAAACCGGCAAAATTTTTAAAATGAGATTGAAATATCAATTAAAAGTAGAAATTAATATTTATAAAGTAGAATCAAATAACTTAATTCATAGCGATTCGTTACGAACAACTATTATATACTTATAGCTGGCATACAAAATTAAAACATATCATTGTTTACCTGCATTAGCGCCTGCCAGTATCGGCCGACCTTTGGTTCGGCATCCGAACGCTTGGTCGCTAACATAATTTTTTGTTTGTGATCAACAAACAGGATTTTTGCAGGTGAATGTTATGATTAAGTACCTAATAACTTTGTCTTCTTCCGGTTCTTGACCAAAAATAGTTTTTAATCAATAACCTCATCTTTCCATAAACCTGCGACATGTAGATACTGGTAGAGAATGCCAATAGGAATTAAGTCCAACCTTTGTAATCTTTTATTTGATAATTTACAATAAAAAATAAATAAATAGATATAAAAATATATATGACATATTCATTTCGTGCTTGATTGTACAGGATGACGGCCAGTGCCGGCACGAGCTACAACCGGTAAAAAGTGTCGATTGTCTTCGATCGGGAGCGGAGGAGAGGTCGCCTTGCTTCTATTGTCTTGCATAAAAAAACGGAACTTTTGCCTACGAAATTGATCGATGTTCTTAAATAGCAAGATATTGTTCAACTAATGAGCGTGTTTGCGGGGTTTTCCTGTTAATACTTTTTATATATTAGTTTTACAATTATCTAAATATAAGATATCACTTATATTTATTACAATGTATGTGATACAAGCCTCATACACTAGCAAGGTTATTGCTTATTCCTACTTATTTATTTCTATATAACCACTGTATGTTAGATTTCATACATCATGTCAACTTTTCTTGTCAAAATTCCTTAGCCTAAATTCGTAAAAGTAAAATCATTGTGACGTATATCGATATATAAATGTATTATAGTTAAAATGAACGTATTGATCATATTATCTTTGATACATAATCTTTAGAAACCTAAATATTGTCACGGTCTCACACGCTTTTGCAGTAATAACTAGTCTTGCGATGTACTGTGATTGATAATTAGCCTGCCACAACGGCAGAGGCTCTCAGTAGTGGAATCTTATGGTTTTTTTTAGAATACGTTCGACAAACGAACATACAGTTCACCTGATGGTAAGTGGACGCTGTAACCCATATACATATATCTACATTTATCCTCAATTAAGAATCAGATGCGTTGTCAAACCTGAGGACTAAGATGGAATACTTCGTTGCCAGTAAAAAGAGATCTAAGTATGATACTACACTCACCATACGAAACACAGCAGTATTAAGTTGCTATTTAACGCTGGTATTCTGTGAAAGCGTGGTCCTTCCCGGGTAGAGCCAACCCATTCATGCTGCAACCCATAATAGCTGCAGCGTGGCGCTAACACGTACAAAATCAACCTGCAGCCAACTTCAAACAATAAAAGCTGCAGATACGTTTTGTACTTTTGAGTACTAAGATGGAATGCCTCACAACCTGTAATTATAATGACTCTGTACCCTTCAGACGGGACCACGGCATGCTAGTAGTGACGTCAGAAATAGATAAAGGATAGTAACTACCGAGACGAACTCATAGTCAGAAAAGGAATTCTGCCGCCTAGTACAGTTGTTGTTGGGTTAGGTTTTTATAACAATTTCAGTGGAAAAGCCACGCTGCAGCTATATTATGGTTGCGGCATGAATGCGTCGCGTTGACTGTGTTAGGACCACGCTCTCACTGTATAAAACCGTCAAAATAGCAGCTTAATGCTGCTGTGTTTTGTATTGTGAGTGTAGAGAACCGGAGACCTGTTTTACTGGAATCGAGGCATTTCATCTTAGTCCTCACGGGTGACAACGCATCTGCATGTTGTGGTACTATGTAAGTTATCTTGGAAACTATGTAAGTACTCTACCCAGAAGAAGTGAAATTGCTCATAGATAAGCAACTCCTTCCATTTGTGGCCGTGGAAGGAAAAGAGGAAATCTCCCGCCGGGCAAGGTGTTCTTCCCGGGGAGCGGCCAACACTCCGTGTGATAGTTCGGAGATGTTCTATATATACTGTTTATGATTCGGAATTTTGATAGCGTGATTTAGGCTTCGGTGTGTTTCGCTTGCGGCGCGACGACAGTGCCGCCACATTACCCCTCTGCTCAGACCGGAGGTCGGTAGTGCAGCCTCGTTGCCGACGAATGTGCAAGTGCGAGATTGCCTTGTAGTTTGCGGTGAGTCGAGAAGAAGGCAACTAATCTGCGAGAGTGCCGTGAAGCAGAGGTGAGCAATAAGGCTCAGGGCCGTGCTGAACACTGTAGCGCAGAGTGTAGCTTGAAGGAACAGGAAGCATTATTATTCAAGTGCTGCGATGAACCTTGTGAAGCTAGATGACTTGCAGGATATGAAGACTGCATTCATGGTACAACCATAAATTAGATTAGAGAATTTATTAGACAAGATGCTAGCATTATTTTATAAGTAGTTACTAACACAACTATGGACGTACAGTCTGAAATAAAGTTTTTTTTTTTATAGGATAGGGTGACAATGACAAACGAGCACAAAGTCTACCTGATGGTAAGTGGTTGCTGTGGCCCATAGACATCTACATTTATCTTCGATTACGAATCATAATGAAGATACGTTGTCGCGCTTGAGGGCTAAGATGGAATGCCTCTTTTCCAGTAAAAAAAGATCTCCGGTTCTCTACACTCACCTTACAAAACACAGCAGCATTACGCTATTATTTTACGCTGGTGTTCTGTGAGGGCATGGTCCTTCCCGGTCGAGCCGACCCATTTACACGTATAAAAATTATTATTGTTAATATTATATAGATTAGTAATGAAGACATATCACCACATTTAAGTCATGGTCAATTTACCCGTTCAAACAGCTCTAAGGTGTGTCCTTATTATTACAGTGAAAGTGTCTCCGCGGGCGGCAGATGCGCCGTGCCCGCTACTGCCTTTCACTCACATAGCAATACATAAGGGACTCGGCCAGACTATAGGAAGCAGTCTTGAACTGCGCCTTGCGAACGCCTGTCTAAGAATTCCAATAAATTAAAAAGGAATAAATATGAATATTCATTGTATTTGGAGAATAGAAAGTCAGAGTCTGTATTTCTGTTACGTACCCACTTGTACATCAGAAAACCTATGCGGCTTTATTAAAAAATGTAGTTTATATTTTATTTTAAGGTTTTAATCTACCGATTGTCATCATCATCATTGCAGCCCTTGCGAAGGGCCTGCTGCTAAACCTAGGCCTTCCTCAAGAAACGCCACAAAGCACGGTCCTGAGCCACCTGCACCCGCATCTAGTGTAAATTATACTAGTATTATTTCGAAAAATTTTCGCAGAAATATGCGAAGTAGGTAAATGTATAGAATTTGATATCAAATATCAAATTTCGCGAAGACTAGCACTGCGGTTGAGGAACTTCTTTAGTTAGAACGACTATTCGTAAACCATAGTTTAATCACTCGAGACTATCAATTAACCATACTTTATAATAAGACGGCTGGATTATATAAGCCTTAATATTATAAGTAGGCTACAAAATATTTTCCATTTAATGTTGTTTCAAAATCATCATTTCTGCCTACAAAAATTGCAGCACAAATGAATCGTCTCGACCGGTTTAGGACCACGCTCTCACAGAATACCAACGTAAAATACTAGCTTAATATTAACTTGTAATTGCAAGCACTGCAATAAATGACAGGTAAATATCAAGTATCCATTAGGTACCTAGGTTTTGTAGCATGGATACATATACAATATAGGTAATATAGGTACATATAACATAAGGAATGGAATAACTTCACATGTATTTTAATATCTGTGCATTATGGAATATTTTTTGCGTTGCGTGTATCAAATGAGAATTCGATAGTCAATACAAAGTATTGATATTCTGCCGTATACTTAGCATCTGTTTAATTAGATACCTGTTCTCCGCCTGTTGCTTCTAGTCTTCTGGCTGTGATAGGTAAAAAAAATCTGTCTGATACGGGAAGTCGGAGTATCCTAATTAGTTTACCCGGTTGGTCCCGATTCCAGATTATTATATAATATTATACACTTACCATCATGTTGAATAAAAGTCAAGTATATTATAAAAAGCAAATACAAGTAATAGCAAAAAACTTAAACATTAAATAATCAATTTTAAAACATTCAGCTAATATCTTTCACAGTTCTTAATAGTATAAAGGTACCTATATAAAATACCTAACTGTTACATATCCTATACCTATCCGTCACAAAGCTCTCGCAATCAGTCCCCTATCTAAAAACCTGATACAAGATGATTCCCGATGATTGGATTCTGCACAGCAGCCCGTAACGCCTACCGCTTAAGATGAACCAATAGGGAAGCGCCATCTTAAATACACTCAGTTGTATATACATGGTAATAGAAAAAGGAAGTTTGCGCTAGTGATTTTTAAGGTAAGTTACATAGGGTGTAATTTTTATTACGTAGGGTGCAATTTAAGAAAAAAAAATTATTACTAAGAAGTTTAAGATAAAGATACTATACTGTACCTACAATCAAAATAGTTTATGATTAAATTTCCAAGATATACAGTTTGAAAACGTTTACAAAGTATTGTAAATTTTTGAAGATGAAAACATAGAAATGTCTTAGGAAGTAATATTATTTTCATGAATATTATAAAGAAAATAATATTATAGGAAATACTGCAGGTGCTGCCATCTACTCTCAATAATATTACTACTGAACTATTAATATTATAAAATAGTTTTACTACTCAACACTAGATGGTGCGGTATACAAAATAAAAAATTTAGGTAAGTGTTTTTAAAATTGTTTCTATTCAACAAAAGAGGGCACTTTTTTATGAAAATGAAAGACAATCATGCCACAGAAGCCAAAAAAACAAAAATCAAAAACATTTATTTTATTTTTACTACCAGACTTTGAAATCTCAAAAAGCTATTTTCATTAAATGAATAAAGTTTTATATATTCTCAGCTAAACAAAACACCCGGTATGATATAAATAATTTAATATGTTTATTAATTGATTTCCTTTTCTTTTTCAGTAATTTAATAGTTAGTCAAGTTTTAGAATCCACTTGTTATTATTTCAATGTTTCAAATATATAACTTACTTTGCATTAGATCTAAATTTTGAAGAAGATAATTAGGTACCATGAGTATCTTTCACTGGAAATTAGGAGATATTGCTCTTGCACGTATCAGCAAAAAGGTGTATGCAAAAGTTCAAGTAGTCAAGGATGAAAAGGGATTATTTTACGATTATAAGGGTTTGATTTCAAATATTTTTATTTGTCAATAACTTATATAGGTAATAAGGAGTATAAGAGGGAATAAATTGCTTTTTCTCCAATTGTCAACCTCACCTGTATAACCCCGAAAAAAGACCGATTGATTTATCAAAATCTGTTCAAAAATTCCAACCACAAATCCCACAAGAATGCTCCTTCGATTCGCTTACCCAGCGTGGTGAGTACTATTTCAAGAAATGCACACCTGATTAAGAATTGTGCTGATGTTCAGCAATAAACTTTAAAATAGCTAACAATACAAATATTAATAATAATACAAAAATTAATAAGTATAATTTGAGCGTCTTTTGTTAAATCTCAGATTATTAACTCATTCGTAAGAATTAATTTAAAAAAGTAATTAAGTACAACAAAGACTAAGGTAAGTATAGCTAGTAAAGATAAATTTATAGTTGTAATTTATGATGCTATATAAGAGTTCAAAATATTTAACTAAATATTTTTTATTTAATTTCAATTGTACCTAGTTAGATATATTTTGAATGAATGCTTATTATAGTAGTTTTTAAAATACAAAAGTAAAAGAAGTTATTAGTTAACATATTTTAGCCTTAGATAATAAAATTTTCTTTTAAATAGTTAATAAACCTATCCTTATTATATACTTACTAATTGGAAATATAAATTTGAAATATCCCTACTACAGTTATTACAATTTATTAAATAGTATGTGATTGAATTATGTAAATAAACCCTATCCCAACAGATTAATATGTCCAATTTTAGTTCTAGGTATCTCACCAAATGAAGATGGTATTGACATAACTAAAGAGCTCTGCTATTTTGTGGAGAAAAGTCGTGCAAAGCATAAAATGTGGTTACCATATACAAGCCTCCGTTTAGCAGAGCGTTCTAGACCTTTTTATGGTCCAGCTGATAAAGTGCCTACATCTATTAAACCTCCCTCAGTGCCCAGAAAGGTATTTAAAGTGCAAATTAAGTATTATTCTTGAATGATATTTAAATGTTAGGTTCAATCTATCTATCTTGCTAAAAGTCCACTACTGAGAGGCTTTTTGTTTTTAAAATTTTTCCTTTTATAAATTATAAAGGAGATTACAAATTTTAGAGGAAAATTAAGGAAGATCACACATTACCCTTGAGTGTGAAACCATCCAAATCAAGGGAACCAGACTTGAACACAACATATGATATAAGACATATACCGTTAAAGCAAGGCAAATATGAAAATGCTTTTAAAGAATTTGTAAGGCGAGGGAAAGAAATGCTTTTTGATCAGTTCTATGCTCAATTAGATGAAAATAAAGAGAACGAAGATTGCTTGTATTATGTGAATAACATTGATGCAAGTACTGAGGATAAATTCGAGATGGTCATAAGGAACTCAGTAACAGAGAAGGAAATTGAAAATTATCTGCATCAGTGTTGGAGATATAATTTTGTACATAAGCAGTCTGATAATAAGGATTCACTTGACAACAATGTTAGTATAATTTTGTCAGTCTTCCCTAGGCTTCCATCATGTTCTGTTGATATCATTATGTCTCTATCGGGTGTGAATAGGTGCTAATGTTAACTAATGCACTGGCAGTATCAGTTTATAAACTAGAGAACATCATTGACATTTCTATATAATACTATCGACTGCCATATTGGTCTTGTGGTTGTAGTAATGCGACTGCTGATCATGAAGTCCCAGGTCGGGCCAAAAAATATCAGTTATTGAGTTTTTCAATTAAGAAATTCTCAGTAGCTGCCCGGAGTCAGGAAGTTGGCAGTGTCTCACCCCCGTGCCTCGGATCTCACATAAAGCCATTGGTCCTGCGCCTGATCTCTCTCCGGTCATGTCGGTTTACCGTCCCATTGGATTATGAGAGTGAGGGAATAGAGAGTGCTCCTGTGCTTGCGCATACACTGGGCACTATAATCCTGACCTGCGTCGATGGCTAGTCTCCGTTAAGGCTGGCCGCCGTCACCGAAATTCGGTCTGGAGGACATTATAATATACTATAGTATGGGAGAAAAACCCAATTTTTCTCAAAAAGCTTATTTCATCAGCATGTCTCATTGCAGGCTTTGAACTTTTGAACCCTACTGTACGGCGACTATGGGAAATACCGAAACATCTTATAACCGCCGATAGATGGCGGTGTTACAATCTTGTTTCCACCAGACTAAAAATACCGAGACCGGCGACGGGCGGTAACATCAAACCGTTAAGCCCCATTTACATTCAGCCACTGCCACTGCTCCTCGCGCTGCCGGTAAAACGGGCTACACACGAGACGATATCGGTGGCGATCTAGGGTGGAAAGAAATCGGGGCTTTTATCGGGGCAGACCCTACACACGGGCCTGCCTAGCAGTACGCGTTCGGACTTGGAGCGGAACACATATGCGGTAGAGTTCTTCAAAATAGCTTCAACTCTCTTAAAACACCAATGTATTGGTTTGGCATTAGCCCTCTCGGTAAATTTATTCTAAAATAGAAAAAGAGGAGTTGCTGGGTGAAAAAATGGCTCCAAAAGAGACAAAAATTAAGCCACATAAACGTACTAAATGATCTGTATTCCAAAGACATGATTAATTTTCTCCGGATGGATGAAGACAGTTTTTATAACCTTCTAGAAATGATTTCTCCACTTATATAAAAACATCAATTTCTCCTATGTACCTATGCTATTTAGTTATTTCTTCTCTCTATTCATTTCTGCTTTGGTCAAAATCTGGTTATGTATTACACACAACAAACAAGGAAATAAAATACTTTTGTATAATAATATGTATACTTTTTTTTTAATGTAATCTTTATTTATGGAGTAAAACTATCAGAAAATAAAATAGCTTATATCTTTTTTTAAACATAAAGAAACCTTTAATTTCGGACATACTCCCTTTTATATAACTTGTTTGTTGATGTGGAGATGGTGAAGGAGTAGAAGTTAGTTGTTTATAAGAGGATGAAGGCACGTAAGAGATCGAATTTTGGTCTTGTGGAGTTGTAAGAGATATGAGTGCGGTCTTGTGTTGATAGTGTTGGAATAGGAGTTAGTTGTTGAGGAGAGGCTTTATGTTCTCCTTACTTACATCATACACTCTACTTTACGAACGGCAATAAAAAATTAGTTTAGTAGGCATTCTTGACCATGTCACTTCGCAGGGTCACAGGCTAGGGTGGATATGATTTGAATTTCGATAAAATTTCGTTTAATTTATTTATTTTATTCACTTTTTTTTTGGTTTTTTGTAAAATATCAGTGCCATAGGCTTCTGCTCCGTTTATATGATTAAAATGTAAAAATTTTGTTACATAAAAAAAGGTCATTCAGTATCACTGTTTTGTTAACTTCCTTCCGCGAGGGTTGCCGGCAGCGACTGCCAAAAGAAATCGGGCCGATGCGCCTACACACACGCAGTAAGGAGGGGGCGGTGCCCCGATCTAGGAAGCATCGGCTGATCTAGGAAGCATTTTTGCTCCTGCCAGCCGATTAAGGAGGCGATATCGGCTACGACTTAGGATGGCTCTACATACGACACGATTTAGAGGCAATCTAGGAGGCATCCCCACCACTCCACCCTAGATCGCCACCGATATCGTGTCGTATGTAGCCCGCTTAATACTTCCCTAAATACTGCCGTAGCAGGATCGCGGGAAGTGTGTATTCACACTCTGCCCTACCACTCACATCGCTTTCGGCTTTCGACTATGGCGGACGTCGAAATAATTACAGCGTCCGCGCTGTGTCTTCTTGCAATACAAAATTATGTTAATAATTTAAAAAGATATCAAGTTCAAAAGAAGATAGATAGATAGATAGAAAATTTATTTGCTTAAAAACATGGTACATAAGATGATCAATGACGTGGAACTGACATGTTTTGCCATAATTGGCATGGAAAAATGATATGAAATACAGCTAATTACACAAACCCGATGTTGCTTAAAAGTTAGGTACACACATTCTTTTTTGAATTCAAATATTATGTACAATTAAATACTTATACAGATCCACTCTATTTGAATTCTTATACAGTAAATTGTTCATAAATTATTAATTGAATTATTATATTATTGTTACATAAATAATATTAAATATTATATGAGATTAGTTAAGCTATTATTATTTTATTAATTACACTTCAGTATAAACTAATTCGTAATTTTAATTATAATAAAATTATAATTTAAAAATCTCAGGCTATTATGCAAATATTACCTTTTAACTTATTTTACATTTTAATTAATAAATAATCAATATGAGTTACAAATCGTTTTTAGAAATAAAATGTCAATGTTCATTAATTCCTTAAACTAAATTTTATATTAATATAATAAATTTGACGAATTTATAATTAATTATGTACATAGGTACTATGTTAACTCAAAAAAGAAAATTCGTATTCGTAGAAGATGATAAATTGTGGTTTTTATCGTTGAAATCCATCCCATATAGTTTTTTCTGATTCCAGCAGTTCTAAAAACTTTATTGTATTTTCATTAATCCACTCGAAAGGCATTTTGGTAGATCGTATTTATTTAATAACAGGACGGCACGCACGTCCGTTCATCCAGGCGCTTGTCGCGAAGTGAGCGATGGAGCTGAATGTGAACACACACTGCCGCTCGCGCTGCCCGTCCTTTGACTTCCGCACGAAAAACCGACATTTCGGGCAGTGTCAGCGGCAGCGGCAGTGTCAGCGCGAGTAGCCTGTTTACATACTGCCCTGCTCACTGCCCTGCTCACTTCCCTGCCCAAACGGGCTGAATGTAAATGGGGCATTAAAGGTGCCAGATATACTCTGTGGTGGAACTCCTTTATAATTGGAAGGCACTTATTTTTGCCGCCTAATATAAAAATCACGTCTTAATGTAGGTACTGCTATGTTCCGATCTGAAGGGTAAAGAGGGCCAGTATAATTACAGGCTGTGAGGCATTCAACCTTATTCCCTAAAGGTTTAAGTTTGCTGCAGGTGATCATTGGCCACAGTAGGCACTTACAATCAGGTGGATTGTATGTACATTATTACTTTAGTTTTATATAAAATTCTGGTCATTGGCAATCTCCCTGCCAAGTGTGACGAGGCAAATCCTCCCTATTACCAGAGGGGCCTATATCCAGGTGGAAGTTAGTGATTGAGAAGAGAAACCAAATTACCAAATCTTCCAACTGACATTTGGCGCATTCTTGTTATACCCATGTCAATAAATTTCACGTGGTATTTACCTATTGCGCTTGTGCTGTATTATTTTCACCGCATCATTGGTCGGTTCCACCAAGGTAGGATCACGCTCTCACAGAATAGCAGTGTAAATTAACAGCTCAATGCTGCTCTGTTTCGTATTAATATTTGTTGAAAATCGGGGACCCTTTTTAATAGCAACGAGGCATTGTAATCCCCTGGTGTATCTGCATATTTTAAAGGGTTAAAGTTACAGCCTGTTTATTTTATCCTGCTGGGCCTAGGCCTCCTCTTATAATTGCAAGTATTCTGGACCTTAGCTGAATTATTAGCTCTTGTTCAATGCGTGTCGACAGACATCTCATATCTTCGAATTATTTTATTCTTCATACATGCAGCTTTCACGATATTTTCCTTCACCGACAAGCACGTGGTAAACTGGTAAATCGGCATTTAAAATTGTAATAAAACCAACGAACTAAAGAAAAGTTCGTTGAATAAAACAGTTTCATCAATGCCGGCGGATCAAACCCGGATTGTTCATAGGATTGTACTGTGAAAGAACAGCGTAATGCTGCTGGTTTCATATGGTAAGTGACCAGAACTGGAGACCCTTTCAACTAGTAACAATGCATTCCATTCAAGTCCTCAAGGGTGACAACGTGTCTATATTTAGACTCTTAGTCGAAAACTAGCTGTTCCCGACGATCTCGTCCGCGTGGACTTTAATACGATTGAATTTCATAGTTAGGCATTTTTTTGGTAAACCCTAGTTCTTATTTTAAAATAAAAGTAACCTAAGTTTCTCCATAATGTTAGCTATCTGCCAGTGAGTCCCGTGAAAATCGGTCCCGCCATTTCGGAGATTATCCGGAAAAAACACAGACAAAAAAAATTTAAATTGTTTACCGTATATACTTTCATATGCATTTAGTAAAAAGCTGTTATTTTGACATTACAAATAGAATTTTATATATTTTTATGTATAGATATCTAGATGTAGATGTTTAAGAGACGGACACTGCCTCTTAAGCATCAGTTAACATTAGTTGGACTGTGTTCTTGTATGTCACATTTCATTTAAAAAAAATGAAAAATATTCTTGATATCCTTAGAACCGTAATTAGTTCTCTGTTAACAACTGAGTTACCACTATTCTTAAGATATCAAAAGCTAAAAGCTCGCTTGTACGCGAGCATTTCGACATTTCATAAAACGCGAGGTTTCACAGAACCTGGGAAATCGAATGTGCCTTGCTGAAATTTCACGACGTTGAAAATATTGTAAGGAAACCTGCAGACATCAGAAATATATATACTAATATTAAATCTCCTGACTGGCAATGGAGAAGCATATACGACGAATTCATTCTTCACCATTACCCTCAAAATATTAAAAGCCTTTTATCTTATATACTTATAATGTGCGCCGCGGTAGCTCAGGGGCTTCGCGATCGCTGTAAATATCGCACTAAGCGAGCAACCCAGGTTCGAACCCGCCGGCCCCAATGAAATTGTTAATTATAATTTACCACGTGTTCTAAAGTAAAAGAAAACATCGTGAGAAAACCCGCATCTTTTAGAAATTTAAACTCACCAACACGCATTCGGGGAAGCGCGGCTTATTTTTCCTAGCCCCAAAAGTTCTCAGAAATGAAAGATCGCCTGTGCCCAGGAGTGGAACGTAGAATGCTGGAATTAACACTCTTTTTTATCTTTCCAAGATATTTTTATCAGACTATCCTACAAGGAGGGGGTTAATGGTTTTCAAGCGTATGTATGTATTTCTTTAGTACGCTCTGTAGCCTAAATGGCTAGATCTATTTTAATATATGAAGTGTCGTTTGATTCCTCTTTCTTTATTTCTTTTTTCAGTAAATTTTCGTTTTAATTTTCAGCGAGAGAAATCGAGCATCATATTTATGCACTGTGTGTTTTTGCGGGCATCAAAAACACAACACACAATAACAGCACTTACCTATGTGGCGGATACCATTACACGCTATTATTATCAATAATTAGAAATAAAGATAACGTAGCTAACGTTAGCTTTATTTGTTATCTACTACTTCTGCTTCTAACAGTTCATTGCTCGACTTTAGGCGGCTCGCATCCGTTGTAGAAAGGATTAATTTGCCTTAATCGTTAGGACTGGCAGGTGATGAATCACAGAATGATGCTGTTGCCTGTAGCCGGTCTGAATATTGTTGTGGCGGCGCTGTCGTCGCGCCGCAAGCGAAACACACCGAAGCTTAAATCACGCTATCAAAATTCCGAATCATAAACAGTATATAGTATAGAACATCTCCGAACTATCACACGGAGCGTTGGCTGCTCCCCTTTTCCTTTCGCGGCCACATTGGCGTCAGAAGCAACAAAAATTTTCTGGGATATCATGTAGTCACCTCTCACTACACCCACGAGGTGAAACTGAGTGATGGATTTTGGTTGTAAAGTATAACTTTGTTACAGTGCAGACTTGATACCTCATGATATTTATGACGGTTCGGTATGGCAGTGTTTAAGCATTTTCGTTGCGGCTCTGAGAGCTTCGGATTCGAATCCTTCACGTTCTGATCGCACGGATTATTTTCTTTTCTATTTTCAGTATTTGGATGGCCTGCAAAGTGTTGTTCTGAATCTGAGTGTTGTCATGTGCGATTTATGTAGGTATGTAATTAACGAGACAGGTTACTGGAGTGGGGGTATTTGTTAAAATAAAGTAAGCGTTGTCAGCTACGAAAGAGTGAGAAGCTTGATACTGTGAACGACAATCTACCTGCTAACCCTGGCGATAAAGGCAACGTGTCACGTGTTTTTATGGTTATGATACTTTAAAGTATAAATGCCAATTTAAATCCTCTGGATTATATTGATATAATTTACAGAATATCTTTTCCAGAAATCTCTGTCACCAATGACGAGTCCAATAACGCTGCACGCACCCTGGTGCTTGGTCTGTGGTAAGGGAGAACGACTGCGACAATGTCCCAACTGTCCTTCATCCTTCCATCTTCCATGTCGAAGGGAATGGCTGATAACTATCATACGTACGTAAATTGTTACACCCTTTCTATAAAAAATCCTAAAATAGGATAATAAGTTTTCGTTACCTCCCTAAAGGCCCAGCTACACGCTCAATCTTACTTGTACAAATTCTGATTTGCACACGCAAGCATGCGGTATACCGTGGAAATGGCTTGTACAATTATTTAATTTTCTCAAACTGAAGTTGCACCAGCAAGCACGTACGTTACGACGGCATGTGGACCGCAGTTCTCTCAGACACAACATGTTCTTTGCGAAATCTTTGTACAAATTGTTTGCGCAAGGAAAACGTTATCGTGTGGACTTTGTGCAGTGCACCATGTTGTTTGCGCAAAATGCGCACACAAATCGCTGCGTGTAGCCGGAGCTTAAAATAACTACATATTATAAGCTTTGTTTTCTAATGCGAACTTAGTAAAAAGTTTTGTATGACTTGCATTTTATAGTAAAAATTCAGTATAAGACACACACTTAGGCTCTATATAATCGATAAATTAGTTCCTTACTATGAATTATATAATATGAATTTGCTCCTAATAATATACTTCTTTCCTTTGCTAGAATAAAACTAAAAAAACTAAACGGTTTTCCGTTTTATATTAAATTTGATTTTATTGTTTAAAATTTGAAAATAAGGACGAGGGTAAATAAAGCGAGACATTGGTTTTGAAACAGGGTTTATTGTTATAATTATGCAATTATCTGTCTGGTAGCTACTGTATAGTTGTTACAGATTATATGTAGCCAGTATGCATTGCGTTGATCATATTTTTTGTACTTAATACAAACTAGCTTAGTTTTGCTTCGGTTGTTGATTCGGTGAGACATATGGCTTGTCCATTGATACTACAGGTTCTCTATTTGTTAACTGTCTCTTTTCATCCGCTTTTCTATTTCAGCTTCCTTGTGAGGTTAACGTTTATCTCAATGTTAATGTTAGTATATATTTTATCATTTCAGACCGTAAAAACCCGCCAAAGAAAGCCCAAAAACAAGTGACATTAGTGGAGAAAATTTTGTCGAGTACCCGCACGATATGCTCTGTGAGAAAGGAAAAAGAAAACATTGAACTGTGTCCAAGTTGCATGTGGGGTCCACGAGTGGGGTAAGTATTTAGTTTTTGGTGGAAATTGACGTATTGCATCTGTTATCATTGATAGCATAATATGTAAGTTAAGCACTTATGTTTTTAATGTTAAATGCATAATCAATGGATATGATGAAATAAGTTGACTGCGATTTTAATTACGGAAAAATCCCAAGTACTTTTTCGCGACTTGGGATACTGTCCCAAATGGGATGCTGTCGTCAAAAAGAAGCGCGGTAAATTATACACTATTATTTTTAAGAAAATTATTTTGATGATAAATCATCATTTAAATATACAAATTTTAAATGATAGTGTGCTTGTTACTCGTAGTAATTTTTTTGTACGAGTTCATGGTTTAAATAAAACTGTCTAAATATAAACGAATAATTTACCAACTTTTCTGTTTTATTATTGCGTTACTGCGAATGCAATGAAGATGTTTTACCGCATTTTTTTAAACGTAAATAAAATTATTGTGATACTGGAATTGAGGCATTCCATCTTAGTCCTCAAGTGTGACAACGCTTCTACATTTTGATTGTTAATTGAAGATAAATGTAAATGTTTACGTGATCTATGATTGAAAGTGGGTGATGCGTCACAGCATTTACTTACCATCAGGTGGATTGTGTGCACGTTTGTCATCGTTATTATTTTTTTTAATCACCTTTTTCCGATTAACAACAATAAGTTAAAGTATAATTAAACTTTTAATTAAAAGTAAAATACATCAAAGAACTAAATGTGTTTAATATTTAATATTTTCCATACAACAGCTGCAGACGTCGGTGTTGGGACATAGTTTAAATACAAATAAATTTCCATCCGATTACAGCCTGTGCTGTGCTCATCAGTGGGATGTATGTACATATAGGTTCTCTTTAACCACTGAGCACTTGGTAATTCTTGAGGATCGATATAGGGTTAATTCCATCGTGTTAAATTCCTGTACCAACATTTACGAATATCCTCTTCGATGTCGTCCGTGCCGTACTTGTCGTAAGAGGCAACATAGGGAAACATACCGGAGGGGCATAGCATTTCCCTAATAAAAAACTACGGTTGTAGACCCGCCTGCCAAGCGTGGCATCTATCATCATCATCATCATCATCATTACAGCCCTTCACAAGTCCACTGCTGAACATAGGCCTCCCCCAAGGTATGCAACAAAGCACGGTCCTGAGCCACCTGCATCCATCGACTTCCTGCATGTCTTACCAGGTCGTCAGCCCATCTAGTGTTAATATAATATCTTATCTCTATTAATATTTGCATCTACGGCAAATATTAATCTATTAGGTAATCTATCAGAAAGGCCTATGTTAAGCATTGGATATTTGATAGGCTCTAATGGTTACGGTAACAGAAATTTGGTTGGCCACATAGTATAAAATTTATGAGGGGCAAGTCCCTGAACTATCACGGCTCTTAAGAGGAGAGGATAAAGAGTTAAGGCCGTGAGGAGGGGGTTGGATGGAAGAAGCTGGTACCATTATTATATTTTTCAGGTACGACGACGTGGTGTGGCACAAGCTGGGCTCATGCCCGTGGTGGCCGGCGCGTGTACTTGCGCCGGGCGCCACCCCCTCGTGCCTGCTCACGCGGACGCACTCACGCCACCAGTGGCCGCTCAAGTACTACGGTAACGTACCATTACACCAGCTCATGCTCACCGTAAGCCGCGTGCTGATGACGTAAGAGAATCCGTGCTTCGTCCCATAGGTGACGTAAGAGTCGACTATGTGAAATGGCTTGTATTACGGTATATTCCCAACGAAAGTGCTTAGAACACTCATATGTGAGACTTACTACGGTGATGTATGCCAAGAGGCGATAGCGATTATAGTCTACCCTCTCTTTTGGATAAAATGAGTTCAGCAAAGTATCTTTTATGCGCGGATTCGAATTTCGTAAACAATCTAATATCTAGATCCACACGGAGTCGAATATTAGTTGTCACCATTTAACTGTGAACATTTATATATATATATATATATATATATATATATATATATATACATAATTTTTCTCACCAACACCATGTGACAAATACTTACCAACCTCGCCTGGTCGATATACAACTTGCTAAAAACATTCGCTTAAAAATGCCGAAGACAATTTTCGGATATTTGTAATACGCTCACTGAACTAGCCCAGCGTAATTAATATAAGCTAACCTTAAAAAAAACGCATAAGTACAGCAATATCTATATCCAGTAGTGGATACAAAAGGCTAGAGCAATGTAAGAAAACAAGGTGATTTTTAGGTGGGAGGACTTTTCTACCAAAAAGTCTAACATTCGCTGTGCTCCAAACTGGAGGGAATGTCTGCATGGCAGCGAAATAGACTTTGATTTGATTTGACCGTAAAGCGTTCAGTTTTAGCTCTCAGAAGGGAACAGTAACAGAAACAGAAACTTTTTTATTCAATGTAGATTATAAGCAATACTTATTGAACATCAATTTTTTCATTTACCACTGGTTCGCAAAAAACCTCCGTCCCGGGAAGAACCAGCAAAAAACCTAGCGGGACTATTTTTTTTTTACAATAGCTTACAATCATGTTTACAATTAACAACACAAGGCAAATTAGAAATAGCTTGGTAGCGATCACCCTTCCCAGGGGTTATTATCACCCATAAATTCCTTAATGTTATAATAACCCTTTTTATACAAACTTAGTTTAATAACATTTTTGAACTTTGTGTATGACAGATTTTGTATATTTTCTGGGATTTTGTTGTAAAAGCATATTATACATCCTCCCAAGAATAAATTACTGACTTGGTGGAGTCGAATAACTGGTACTACCAGCTTGTGTCTGTTACTAGTATTTACAGAATGAATATCACTTATTTTTGCAAAACTACTTTTATTTTTGTGTACGTACATTACATTTTCATAAATGTATTAAGAGGCCAGAGTTAATATATAAATTTCCTTAAATTTTTGTCTCAGTGACTCTTTTGGTTTTACATTATATAGGTATTGCTCTAATGGCCCTCTTCTGTAAAATAAATATAATTTCAGTGTCAGTCGCGTGTTCCCATAGCAAAATACCATACGACATAATGCTATGGAAATAACTAAATTATTCTAGTTGTTTCAACACTGGTAAGAGAAGATAACGCACTTCTAGCGTTCTTTTCCTAAGTTGGATTGACGCAGCTAACTAAGCAATATAAATTAAGCAGTAGCCACTTACAATAATCAGGTGGACGATTAGGTGGTTTTTAACGTTAATTTTTTGAGATATGACTTGCCATTATCTGTCAAACTCGAATAGTAAATAAAAAAGAAATATTAAAAATAAAACTCATCAGGTAAAAACATCATTATTTTGGCTCAATTTGTAGGTACGCAGAATCACTCGTGGGGCGACGGCACTCGTATGTGTCTGTTCCTGCCGAGTCACACCGCCGCGCTGGACACGGCCCGGGACCCGATGCTGCAACAGGCAGTGCTTGACGCTTGTGACGATTATATCGCAGTTTACCTTACATAGACTCGAGTATTTACCAAAATCCGTTAGATAAATTGTTAATTTAACACCTTTACTTACCTTTAATGTTCGTTTTGCAGACACAATAGTAAGACAATAGCAATAGATAACCTATATGTAGGTATAACGGGACAGGGACACGCAACTATATTTTTATATTTAAGCCATTCTATTCCCGCACTTATGATGCTCTATCAACCAGTATCATCTTTTTAATTTAAAAGTTGCCACAAATTTTAATAAAAAAAAACAATAGTTACGTCTAAAAATATAAATCTACAAGTGATTGTAAAAACTACAGCATGTTCTTATTCAAATCATGTTTTATAATTTAATTGCGTAACAATTTGTAAATTCGTTGAGTATATATAAATACTCATTTCTGGGCGGTAGATACCACACAATGTACAATATCGGGAGTATTGAGAGACAAGTTCCAAATTTTCGAGTGGCAACTCTAACTCCACAATGCCAATTTTTGTGTTTTGTCAGTTTCATTATCCACTAGAACTTATAGACCATAATAAAATGATAAAGTACCTATTTTTATACTTTGCTTTTAGAAAAAAATCTGTTACGGTTATGTTATTTTAAAAATGTTTTATAATATAGCAACATTTCACATATTTTATTTAAACTTACGCGAACAGTACACATTGAATAAAACTAAATTTACGGATTTTATCGCGTTTATTTAACTACTTTTACTTATTTTTAATTCCCGACGTTTCGGGTGCTTTACAGCAACCATGGTCACGGGGGGGACTGAGATGTTTGACGTCCCAATGTCATAGTTAGTCCGGCTACCTTCAGTTTTTGAATATTAATTTTTTTTTTAAAAAACGTCGGGAATTAAAAATAAGTAAAAGTAGTTAAATAAACGCGATAAAATCCGTAAATTTAGTTTTATTCAACATTTCACATATTTTATTTAAACTATGTTGCTTGTTTTTCTTTATTTGAATGGATCTCATACAAAGAGATACTTGATAAAGAAAAGAAAAATGAAAATATAATTTTCATAAAGCACTACTTTTAATTTACTTAACCGTTATGTTGTTTTAATTGTATATTTTATTACGTGCGGAATCCCCATATAAGGTGAAAGAATGAATATTTGTCAATCCAAGTTTTTTTTTATATATATATATTTTGTTTATTATTTTAACAGAATCGTTTTCAATAATATTATATACGAATCAGTGCCCAATTTTCCTATATAGGTATAGTATATAATTGACCCAAAAGTTTTATCATCTGTGATATACCTAATATAGTTTTATTTTTATCCTTATTAAAACTGAATGTAAGGATGTTTCATTAGTATGCTATAGTCATAGTGCTTTTTACTTATTTATTTTTGTTATTAGTATTATTTGGAATGTAATCGCGTAATTTATGTTTAGATTATAATAATTTACGCAGAGAGCTCTAGATAAGTACGATAATAAAGAGCTATAATCATTTTGCATCTTTAAAAAAAATTAATGTGATTTAAATGTGCTGATTGTAGTTAAACGATCTCATTAATCTGATTATAGAAATTGACAATATTTAATTCGATAACAAGATAAAATATCTGATTTTTAATTGTTTATTTTGCATGTACAATAAAATGCTAACACGATACATTGTTTTAAAAAAAAGTCGCACTGAATGCCTTAAACTATTTATTATTTATACTCGCTTCTTATGACCGAAGCGAGATTTTTTACTTGAATGACTGACCACCGTATATTCGTGATTACGAGTGTTTCATATATTATACCAAAACAAATATTTATATCTAGTATTATTTCAATAAAAGCAGTTCATTATTAATAATATTTAACGATAAAGCCTACGTGTACCATAGGCTTTGTATTATTTTAAAAGCATTAAGCATGATGTACAATAATACGGACTTATGGTTTTATCAGCTACATATCATTGCATATTATAAAATAAAATGTAAGTTTTTTTTTGTTATTTCTCAAATCATTAAAATCGTGTGAAATTGTTAGCTGCATGAGCGCACATTTTTTTAAATAAAGTAATATTATAATAATCTCTTATAAAATCTTTATTATACTATCATAATGCAACATGCATAATGATAGTATGTTGTTACAAATTTTATAAATATTGCTTAATAATAAATAAATTTTGTTATAAACGTTGTTTCATTCCAATTCAACTACTTTTCATTTTACCAACTACAGAAAATGCCAAAAAATACCTTCCGATAGATGGCGGTATACCAACTCGTAAACACCATACGTAGACCACCTGGAATAAGCCAAATCCTCTCCAGGACGAGATGCCAAGGCCAGCGGTAGACTTTCATGGGCTGATGAAGAAAAGACATACCACAGACACTTGTTCTTTCTAACCCACTCCCATCTAATGTAACGCTTTTGCTATTAGATCGATATGTCAGGATATAACATGCAAAGTTATGGAACATTCGCAATACAGACGGACATGAAACCAATTATTTGAGCACAAAAATTGGTATCGTCTGAGATTCTACCTTCTACGATTCAGTTGGCTTTACAATTAGGTAATAAAAAAACACTAAATTATTTACAATAGTGTACAAATTTATTAAGGTATTTTACATTAAAATAATACTTTACTCTTTACAGACCAGCAAAAGCAACATTTTAGGGCGTTATTCGCGTACACTCGATATTTTTGTACTTTGTAATCAAATCAACAGGGAACTTGCATAAAATTTACGATTTGCTCGAAACTAAATTTCATAATCGGCTCTAGTTATTAAATAAATAATCATTAACACCGTATTATTATTACCAGAAAATTTGTAAAGTAAATAAGGTAAATATTCAGTAATGATGGAAACACAAGCACTTATATGTCAAAAAGGAAAATAAAAATAGGTTATATATTGCAGCCTATCAAAGTTCAATACTGAACAACAATTTATGATTTCAGATTCTATGTGATAGGTAAACGGTACTATAGATATACTGGACAAGCTCTTTATTTTGAGATAATCGAAGGAAAAACAAGAAGACCCGAGCGGCTTTTAATAACAAGTCTTCAAAGCTATTAAAACACAATTACTACATGTTATATACGTGGTAAAGCCACGCAGCAGCTATATTATGATTGCACCACGAGTGGGTTTGCTCGACCGGGGTAGAACCACGCTCTCACAGAATACCGGCGTGAAATAGTAGCTTAATGTTGCTGTGTTTCGTATGGTGCGTTTAGACAACCGGAAAACCGTTTTACTGCATTTCCATTCTTAATCGATGTTAATGTAGATGTCTATAGGCGACAGCATCCACTTACCAACAGGTGGACCGTGTGCCCGTTTGTTACCCTTATTCTATTTTTAAAAAAAAAAAAACTCTACACACTCATATATATAATTTATACAAAATACTTTAGGTCCGTAAACTTTAGTGTTTTTTTATTATAGTGTCCACTCTGCGTATGTAATTGTATGTTTGCTGTTACGACGTTTACACTTCCAGAAAATTTAAAGCTATTTCACTCTTGAATAAAAAAACTACGTGCAAGTTCCCCATGATTTATTTATAATACAATTCATTATCACAATGTCATACACTCGATGTCTACAAAATTCTACAGGTTATGTTCGTTCTGTTCTGTAATTAAACAGCCCGTGCTTGAGCTTATAATTAAAGCATCAATTTGGTTAAAATAATATTACGTCATTTACGTTACGTTAGCAAACAGGTTCGTTTAAATTTAGCAAAAAATAAGGAATGTTCTTGTGACAGAGTGTACAGAAATATTAAAATTAATTGAAGCCGTTATCACGTAATTGATTGATTTATTACATATTGAAAACATTCTCATTTTAAATGATTTAAAAAAAAATTAGAAGGTTCTATATTCGACACATAAAATATAATCAAATAGTAAATTAAATGCAGATCAAATACAAGTCAAGACAAGAGGCGCCTATGGTATATGCCAGAACCGTGCCATGGTTTCCTATAGATGACGGTATAAAACAAAACATCTAGAACCGTGACGGAAAATAACGTCAAAGTGCCATTTCATTATTTTAAACATAAAAAATATTAAAAAATGAAACTTCTGTGTAAACTTGTGAGGACATTCCTTATTTTTTTGGCAGCAAACTCTGAAATATTGAAAACCTTATCGATTATTAAAAACAATGTGGTAACATTTAGAAACAAATACAAACATATAACATTTTAGTCAGAATTATTTAATACAATAAATCAAAATGCAGTGAAATACAATATAACCAGTAGCAAGAATCATCTCGTATTCGAAATTATGAAATGTTTTTCTGTTTAATAAATCATTCAAAACTGATTTTTAATTTATTTATATAAACCAAAACAATATTTTTTATTAGGTGTCAATTTCCATAGTTCTGGTTTCTAGTTCTTACTCTGTATTTCTTATTCAGATAGATCTAGATAAATGAAAGGTACAAAACATCACAGGCTAAAAATTACAAAGTTTTGACTTTAATAATGTATTTCTTAATAGGGAGAAAAACTCAAAGCTAATTGCAGATGGCGCTTTCATAGATTGTCAATTTTGTGACAGTATCTTGTTTACGTTTCGTGTAGTGTTTTTTTTTTTGCGATATTTTAGATAATTGCAAATAGGCCTTCTTAAAACCTACTCGTTTGTGCCGGTTTCCCAACACAAAGTTGAACTTCGAATGAGAAATGCGTCGGCTGTCGGTAAAAAGGTAGATTTGCTTTAAAGTTTAAAGGTAAGTAATAACAATATTAAAGGTTATATTTCAAAATATAATAATATCCATATTTCGTAATCAAAAGCTTATTGTCCCTTTATCTTATTACATGGGAAGCGTATGACGAAACTAAGATTTTGTAGAAGTCTTAGCTCAGTCGATAGTGATAACCTCTGTCGGAAGAAAAGGACAGTTTTCTCCCTATAATTAAGAATGCAAAAATTACAATTAAAAACAAAATACTAACCTAAGAGCAAAGTTAACATTCAACATATCGCGCGCTTAATAATAAACCGACCGACTACGGTTCAGAAGCAACCTTGCACAGATTGTTGTAGACTTAAATGTTCAGAAAAGTTTACATCCGTACAAAGACAATCTCTTTTCGAAGCTTATTGGAAAATTGGGGACTTTGATCCGATTGATTTGTATGTCCAACGTCACATCTAGATATAAATACACAAACGCCATGTGTCCGAGGCAGAGCAATAATACTTTCCACTTTTTTATGGATGACAAACCAATCCGAGTTTGTGAACAGTTTCTTATAGGAACACTAAATATATCCGATCGCGTTATTCGCACAGTAGAACAAAGAACTCATTATCCAGTGATCAAAGAAACATAACAACCGCAATAGAAATCACGATTTACAAAAATAAACTTCAACTCAAAAATCAATATCAGACTTTGATTGTCAGAAAAAACAATAAGCCCTGTGGTAAGTACTGCACATTTTACAATGTATTTACTAAAGAATATAATGTATCATTTTTTTACCTGCGTAAAGATCAATGCGACCTGTGTCTTCAGTACGCAAATGCAAATAACGAACAGACGAATCTAATTCGTGACAAATTTGAAGCTCATTTAGAAGAAAAAGCACTAAGTCGCCAAGAAAAACATAATGACCACTGCAAAATAAATGACAAAAATAAAGTTCTTGTTTTTGATCTACAAGCTGTTTTGCAATCTCCAAGGGGCAATACATCAGCATTCTACTATAAATCCAAATTAAACAGTTATAACTTTACTGTCACGCTTCTTAATAAAATAGTTGATGGCCAAACAAAAGACGCCTATGATGATGTGCACTCTTATTTCTGGAATAAAACTGATGCTAAACGAGGTGCAAGGTGTAAGGTAACAAAATAGGCTCTTGCTTACTGGACTGCTTTGAGGTTTGTCTAGATTCAAGTGTTATAGTTCGGCCGTTCAGAGAATGCGTTCCTGACACGTCGCGATTGAACTGACGACGTAACTTTGTAATGGCGTTGCAGTTACGATAAAAATATTTTTGCTGGTTGTTTACCGTTTTAACAATTGATGAGCATTAAAACAACATTATTATATCAATAATCAATGAATGTTATAATTTTGTGCCAAACTGAGTGTCAAATAACTTGGTAAACAATATTTTTCTAAATCTATGCTGCGCTATTACAAGGTTATGTCAGCGCTTTATATTTGTGGTGCTGTGCTAACAATAACAGGCAATAACAGTATCGTAATTTGTTCTTATACAGTTATACTTTATAAAATAATACGTTTTGTTTTTCTTTTTAAGAATTTGAAAATAATGGACTATAAGATAACTTTTATTAAATATAAAAATAAAACTACGACCAAACCGAACGTGCGAAAGAAAGTAGCATTTTTATATTTAGGTTGAAAATGGTAACCCCAAATGGCGTTATAGGCCGCAATTTTTCGACGCTAAAACAGTCGTCTGTTGTCGTTTCGTGCGCATAGACCACGTTCTTCAAGTGTTTTCGATCTGTTTTTATTTGATTACCCGGCTTTCGTTTAATGGATTGTTTCTGATTTTAAAATGACATCGGCGCTAAACCGGACTTCGATTGTGTTTTGTATTGCGTTCTTTTTACTTTTGTTGCATAATAATGCCTAAACGTGGACAAACATTGAAAAGTGGAGCCCGTGAGTTAACCATCAAGCTGCAAGATTACTTTGAGCGGGAGCGGCAAAATGGCGGACCCCTGTTACCTGTCGAACAAGTACAAGAACGCATCTCTCAGGCGCTTGGAGTTAGCAAACGAACGATAGCAAATATTAATGAAGAAAAGTTCGGCTCTACTGGCACGGAAGATAATATTTTACGTACTCCGAAGAAGAAACGTAGAACTAAACCCGTGACAGATATTGACACCTTTGACGCCGATGCAATCAGAAGTCATATATATGGTTACTATTCCAGAAATGAATATCTCAACAGGAAGAAGCTTTTGGCATCGTTAAGAGAAGCTGGACTGTTTAGCGGTGGTAAAACTGCTTTAACCAAAATATTAAAAGATATTGGTTTTTCGTGTAAAAAAATAGACAAAAGAAAAATTTTATTAGAACAATACGACATAATTTTAAAACGGATAAGTTTTTTGAGAGAAGCAAAAAATATTTATAGCTGGGATAAATATCCGTGTTCATTGACGAGACATGGCTAAAAGCCAATCACACGGTTTCCCGTTCTTGGACGGATGAAACACAAACGTCGACGTCGAAAGTACCAATGGGTAAGGGGGCCCATCTGATAATATGCCACGCAGGTTCTGCAAAATACGGCTTTGTGGAGAACGCGTTACTGGCATTTCAATCAAAAACCACAAATGACTACCACGAGGAAATGAATGCCACTACATTTAAAGAGTGGTTCCAGAACGTGCTTTTGCCCAGCCTACCAGAGCCTTCTGTAATATTCATGGATAATGCCTCCTATCACTCGGTTCAAATACAGAAACCACCTACCCAAGCTAATAAAAAAGAAGAAATGGTGGCTTGGTTACAAGCAAAAGGCATTGACGCAAATATGCAGATGCTAAAACCAGAGCTAATTAAATTAGTTAAAGAAAATAAAGCGGCAAATCGTCGGTCGAATCACGAAGGGGCGTATCCCACAAATATTCGATTTTTAGTTATCTCCACCATCGTAATCTATAAGGCAAGTTTTATAGCGTCACGAAAGGGCGTAATTTAAAACACACCGGAAACAGATTTACAAACAATTACGAAAAGCCCTATCTGCTATTCATCCCAATTTAAAAATCACGAATAGTCGTATCCACCAGTTACGCCTATTCTTACCTGTTCCCATGCAATTTTTTTTCACGAAGAGGCGTAACCTATCTAACGTGATTACGCGAGTGAAACAATGACAGGTCAAGACGTGTTAAGCAGTCGAGCGAAGTTAGTTGCAAGTTAATAAGGTGCATTGTTTGTTTACGAATATTAAAATTAATAAAATTCTGTCTTCAAAGTGAATGAATACTTATTTTAAGAGTTACTTTTATTTGTGTTTTATACAAATCACAAGGTTATTTTACAGTAATGTACCTATTGCTTTTAAACGCATAGTTACCTAAAAGATGAATTAATATTTTAGGTTAAAATTTTAGAAAAGTTATTTATTTGTTATTGCAATGTTTTGTTACCTAAACCATAGTTTAAATAATATGCAAGTTACAATGTCAGTGTTTAACTATTCCTAAATGTAACAGTGTGTAATTAATTTTCTTATTTACGGTTAAATTATTCTTTACAGATACCTACTATCTACTTAACTTTCTGTGGGATGGTTTTTCAATGATGGACGTGTTAGTTACATGGAAAGATGGCACTCAAAATGTTGTACACACACGGGAATTATTTCCAATCAGAAAAGGTCAGAAGATAACACTTGGTACAAAGGTGAAAATGTTGTATGAACGAAAATGGTGGTATGGTACAGTAACTGTTGTCGAAGCAAAAGAATACTCTTCGTCTGAAGACGAACCACTTTCAACTTATGTTCCTGCAAACCGTGTGCAAAATTGCTGCGAGTACATTAACTGTCATAATCCTATTTTGACTACTTGTACGGAATGTGCTTGTTTCTTGTGCGCTGAACATTACCAAGAAGACGCTTCCTGCTCTAATCATATTTTAGTTAGCAATAACATATCCACATCAAAAAATCAGGATACCAACTATGAATTATCATTAACCAATTCAGAAAAAAAATTTATGATACAGTATGCACTGATGAAAATTATATAGATATACAGAATGAATACCAAAAATGCTGTCAGTTTTCGATTTGTACTGATGAGGTATTTAGTGCATGCCATCGTTGTTCATGTCTCCTTTGTTATGAACATTTTGTCAACAATTGCTCTACCTGCGAAAATCATCTAAACTTTGAAGCTGACTTGACGTTAACAGAAACTTTAAAATTTGATTTTGGGCAAACTGATATGCAGCAGACTTGTGAATATGCCAACTGCACTAACCCTGTACTAACGACATGCTTTGCTTGTTCTTGTTTACTGTGTGATATTCATTTTGCGTCTGTGCTTTATATGCAATCATGTTCTGATCATAAAAAAAAATCCAGCCTCGCTTGCTGATTTCGATATTACCGAAACTGAGAATGTTTCAAATGATTCTGATGCAACTATGGTCTTATCTGACACTCGCGACTCACCCAGTATTTTAATGCAGAATACAGTTTTGGAACCACAACAAGACAGTTATTTGGCCCCAGAAGACTTTATAGTAGATGGCGTTTCCCGAGAGGAAGAAAGATCGAAACCTGTTAGAAAAAATAAATACAAAGAAGCCAAGGTTTTGCGACACGCAGGACAAGAATATATTTCGCCATATACAAAAAAAGTAGTTCCTGGAAGGAAGGTTGGTTCATTATGCAATAATTTAGAAAATTGCACAAAGCAAGGCCTGTACTGTTAGCGTTTTAATGAACAAATACGCGAAAATATATTTATGGATTTCTATTCATTAGCAGATCTAACTTTGCAAAGAGAATATATAGTGAGATTTGTTGAAAAAAAGCCCGTAGGACGCAAAACTACTGCCACAGAATCTCGTCGGAAGTTTACCAACTGCTTTTACTTACCATTAAATGATGAGAAGCAGAAGGTATGCAAGAAAATGTTCCTCAATACTTTGGGAATTTCAGAAAAGACGTTTCGCACAGCTTTGCAAAAATTAAAGAACACCGGTGTAGTAGAAAAAGACAGAAGAGGAGGAAGGCAAGAGGTCTATCATGAAAGGGATACTCAGCTGCGATCACTCATTACTGAACATATTAACAGATTTCCGCGTGTTGAGTCTCATTATTGTAGAAAAAGTAGTACAAAAGAATATCTCCACCATGATTTATCTTTGAAAAAAATATATGGTATGTTTTTAAAGGAGTATAACCAACCCGTAAGTATGACACTTTATAGAAATGTATTCAAAGGCATGAATTTATCGTTCCATAAACCAAAAAAAGACCAATGCAGTTTATGCATGACATACAGAGAAGGTACAAGCGAGGTGAAAGAGAAGCTGCAGAATAAATATGATGCACATATTATAGAAAAAGAAGAAGTACGACGAATTAAAAACGAATGCAAGAATCGAGCAATACAAAATATAACCACTTGTTGTGCTTCGTTCGATTTACAGCAAGTCATCTATTTGCCACAATCCAATGAAAGTGCTCTTTTTTATAAAAGACGTTTGGCTAATTATAATTTCACAATTTATGATTTAGCCTCCAAAGACTGTATATGCAACTTATGGAATGAGACAATCAGTAGAAGAGGTGCCTCTGAAATTTCTACTTGTGTTTATTATTTCTTAACAAATTGTGATAGAAAGAGTGTGAAAGAAGTATTCTTATTTTGCGATGGCTGCTCAGGCCAGAATAAAAATTCCGTGATGGCGGCTATGGTCTTATACTTAATAAATAATTGTGAATCTATTGAAGAAATTAGTTTACGATACTTCTGTTCGTTCCATGGGCAAAGCGAGGGCGATTCTGTCCATAGCGCGATAGCATTTGCAATGGCAAAGGCTGGGAACGTCTTTGTTCCATGCCAATTGGAGCCGATCATACGATTGGCACGCAAAAATCCATACGAAGTCAAGGTACTCAATTACAATGATTTTAAGGATTTTAAAAATCTTGCCTTAAAGTTAAGGTTACTTAAATTAAAAAACGATAACCAGACAGCCGCCCTCTTTAAATGGACAGATGTTATGGAGTTAAAAGTCTCACGAAAGTCTCAAAGTAGTCTATTTTTTAAAACGAGTCACAAGGATAAAGAATACAGATCGATATCAATAAAAAGACAAGATGTTAAATGGCTGAAGGAAGAGGTGGGACATTTAAATAAATCTCATTATGAGATATCTAAAGAAAAATATAACGATTTAATTTCTATGTGCAGGGGAGAGACCCCTTTGATAAGATGCCGGGAATATCAAACTTATTATGAAATCCTACCACATCAATAAGATATTGTTCCATTACTTAATATTACAGTCTTTCTTTATTTAATAGTGTTTTAATTTATAGTCTTTTATTTCTTTTATAGTTAAGATAGCCGGACGTAAATGTTATTTTGAAATATTTGCACATGACAAAAGGGCGTAAGTGAATTTTTTTTCAAAAATGTTAATGTGCGATACGAAATCGATGAACTGGCTCATGAGTACGGTCATCGCGTTCTAAGAATTCCACCGTATCATTGCCAATATAACGCGATTGAGCTAATCTGGGCTCAAATAAAAGGTTACGCCGCCCGCCACAATACTTCCCCCCACAAAGATGATGACCCTATTAAAAGAAGCCTGCGGGGAAGTCACAAGAGATGACAGGGCAAAGGTTGTTGAGAAGACTAAAAACCTGATTGACGAACATTTTGACCGAGATATCAGGATTGATTCTGTCATTGATAATAATATAATTATACATGTAGGCGAAGATGATGATGAAGACACCACCTCCTCAAGCGAATCGGAGTCTGATTAATATTCTGTACCCACATTCAATTCAATGTACTTTATTGCATAGAAATACAGATTGTAACTTTGTAACAAAGAATAAATAAAACAAATTTATTATATTAATACTACCTTTTTTGTTTTCCACTTAAATTACTAAAATATAAATTTTAAATGATTCCGCCAATTTAAAACGAAAATAATGTTAAAAATAACGCGGCGGTTCATTTTGGAGGAACGGTAACGAACTCAGTGTTATGTTGTGCCCATCACTAGTCGTGACTAACAGATAGGTGTCAGGAACGCATTCTCTGAACGGCCGAACTATAGTGACATTGGCTTAAGTTTAATTTTATATCCTGATAATTGCACTGGCCAGAATAAAAGAAAAATATATAGTGGCATTTTATCTCTATGCAGTGACCCACCTAAATATAGAATCAATAACGCATAAATTTCTAATCAAGGGGCACACACGAAATGAGGGAGATAATATTCATATCATCGTAGAATAGGAAATAAAAAAGAACCTTAAATCAGGACCAATACACAGTCCCCATCAGTATGTAACCACAATTAAAATGCCAAAAAGAAAAGATTGCACCTACGATTTGTTTCTGGACTAGAAAAAACTTCAGGAAGACTGGGGATACAATTTCAGTGAAACTGAAGACAAAAACCATTTATCATAGAATGATATAAAAATCTTAAAGTGTGACACAGAAAAAGTGAACTGTTTGCATTCATTGTGAAAACATCATACAAAGATAAAGAATTCCTAAGAATGCCTAAACAGGAGGAAAAAATGAAGCTCTTGTCAGAGCTGACAACAGTAAAAGTACACACTGGCAAGCAAGAGCTCAGCGAAAACAAAAGAATTGAAAGATTTTAAGGAACTGGTTGATAAAAACTTGATCCCCAATTTTTACAAAGATTTTTAAGATACAATAATGTAAAAAGTTATTTCTTTATTTGTGACTAACCTAATATTATTAGGTAAACTGACTGATTGTACAAAACTGATCTCTTAATCAATAAGCACATCATTAGTAGGTACTATTGTATAATGCCCTATTTACATTCAGCCTTGTCGGGCAGGGCAGTGGGCAGAGCAGTATGTAAACAGGCTACTCGCGTCGACACTGCCGCTGCCACTGTCACTGCCCAACACTCCTTCGATTGTGGCCTGGATAAACGGACGTGCGAGTCGTCTTGTTTTTAAATAAGTACGATCTGCCAAAACGCCTTTCGAGTGGAGTAACGAAAATACAATCAAGTTTTTAGAACTGCTAGAATCAGAAAAAACTATAAGTATGGGATTTCAACGATAAAAACCATAATTCATCATCTTCTACGAAGACGAATTTTCTTTTTGAGCATGATGATAACACATACCTGATGATGATAACCATACATGTACACAACCTATGTACATAATTAATTATAAATTCGTCAAATTAATTATATTAATATAATAGTTTAAGGAATTAATGAACATTGACATTTTATTTCTAAAAACAACTAGTAACTCATATTGATTATTTATTTATTAAAATGTAAATTAATGTAATTAAGTTAAATAGTAATATTTGCATAATAGCTGAGATTTGTAAATTATAATTTTATTGTAATTATAATTATGAATTAATTTATACTGTACTGTAATTATTAAAGTAATTATTATTTTAAGCTACTATTAATTATTATTAACTTAAGCTATTCTTAGCTGAACTAATCTCATATAATATTTAATATTATTTATGTAACAATAATGTAATAATTCAATTAATAATTTATGTACAATTTATTGTATAAGAATTCAAATAGAGTGGATCTCTATAAGTATTTAATTGTACATAATATTTGATTTCAAAAAGAATGTTTGTACATAACTTTTAAGCAATTACATAATTTCAAAATGTAACATTTTGGGGTTTGTGTAATTAGCTGTATTTCATATAATTTTTATTTTTGCATGCCAATTATCGCAAAACATGTCAGTTCCACGTCATTGATCTACTTATGTACCATGTTTTTAAGCAAATAAATTTTCTATCTATCTATCTTATTTTGACTTTATTAACATAATTTTGTATTACAAGAAGACCCAGCGCGGACGCTGTAATTATTTTGACGTCTGCCATAGTCGAAAGAGATGTGAGTGGTAGGGCAGAATGTGAATACATACTTCTCTCAATCCTGCTACGGAAGTATTTAGCGAAGTATGGCCGGCAGCGCGAGGAGTAGTGGCTGAATATATGGCAGGGGCTGAATGTAAATGAGGCTTAAAATTTAATAGTAGGTATGTTTATAAGAATTTATTTTTATATTCTGTGATTATATAGATGACAAGTTTTGCTACAATTATCTAAAGAAGTTTACAATATAGCAGCACAGACGTCCCGATGTCAGTGTTAACCTGGAGTACCTTCAGCTTTTTAATTATTATTTATGGTCCGATCTACGCAGAATGAACTAACCATGAGTGGTGATGGAATGAACTTACTATGGTGACCATGGGTGCTGGAAAGCACTCGAAACGTCGGGAATCAAAAATCACATATATAAAACGCGATAACACCCGTAAAAGTAATTTTAATCAAAAGGAAGATTGTTTAATTAATTATTGATGTGGTATTATACAACCCAAATAAAGAGAAAATCTTAGTGAGGTACGTTTTTTTAAAAAAAAAAAGAAAAAAAAAAAAAAGTTATCAAGAGAATGTACAAATTCTACTTCACTTTTACAATAATCAAGCCTAAAAGTCAGTAGGAATATAATTGACATTTTCTCACATTGTTAGATACGTAAAACTGCACATATTAACTGTATTAACAGAAATAGAGGATATCTGGGTGGCGTTTAGTCCCTACAAACGTATTCCTCTATTTTTTCCTTACAATAATGCAAACGGTTTTGTTACATAACAATCTTTACTGCACTGTCATGGTCTCACGTTTTTTTTTTTTGCCAAAAAGCAATTGTTTTGGAAATTGTTTCTGACCAAAACCACTAAAACTGACCAGTTATACCTTTGTTATTAGACATCCAAGAAAAAAAAAACATAAAAAATAGAAGAAAAACATACAGATTTAGCTACAACCTTTCTTTATGTACTATAGTAGCTGCGGTAGCTTATTATAGCGTAATTTACAGCGAGCGCTAACCATCTGTAGCGCTCGCTGTAAATTTCATTGTAGCGAACTACACGGGTTCAATCCCTGCCGGCCCCAATGAAATTGTTAATGCAATTTTAGTGTTGATTTACGATGTGCTTGGTGGTGAACGAAAACATCGTGAGGAAACCTGCATGTCTGAAAAATAAGAAAAAAAAATTTCGAAGATATGATATGAAGTTCGCCAACACGCATTACGGCGGACACTTTCTGACCCTAAAACCCTCTCAGAAATGAGAGGTCTGTGTCCAGCAATGGGACCTTATATAGAGTGTATTTATATTAATTTTATATTTCTTATATCATTTTTGAAAAAAGATATTAAAACCGGTCTAACTTTGGAGAAGAAAGAAGTATTCCACTAATATAAAGTTGTTTAGCTCGATCATTTGGGTCGAGAACAATTAAGAATGGATAAGAACTACGGTCATTCAATAATAATATTATCTTACTTACCGACACGAACAATTTAACATAAAATGAAAACGAAAAATGCAACAAAAAATCTGCAGAATTTATAAATATTTTAGACATTTTTTTTAAAACAATTTTACTAGAAAAAATGTGTACGGCAGTCAAAAAAGTTTAAGAAAGTTCTCATTCTTTATAATCAATTTAATATTGAGCCGATTGTGCGATAGTTTTATTTTTTTTTTTTAACAAACACATTAAATTTCATTACATTTAACTATTTTTTAACAATCGTAATCCATTTCTTTCATGTGATACGCAAAGCTATTGGTATTTGGTAGACTCAATAAAACTACGCACATATTTGTAAGGAACTTTACTCGTATGTATCTAATTCACCAAACGGTTAAAATGAAGAAAAAAATCTTAAATTAAAAGCCTAATTTAATGAATGGATGATTGAAATATGCGCTAAAACAATTATATAAGGTTTTCATTTTCCACAGATAATAGAAAGTAATAATACCTCGTAGTATTTTAAAGTCCACAGACTTTGTTACAGTTAGGGACATTGTCCACAGTTTGTTATAGTTAGGGATTATCCCTATACCAGTCACACGTAAGTTTACAATCATAGTATTTCTTTGTTAGATAACACAGTTTGTTAATTCAAGCTTTAAAATCTGTCAACTATCGTTGAGATTTTCTCATACTTATATAAAACAATTTACATTATTATTTGCATTGCATGTTGTCACTTAAACATTAAATAAATTCTTCTAAAAGTCCAACTATTCACCGGGACCGATAATTAATGCACTCACCGCGAAGAATAGGAACACAACACCTCCGATTATTGTTACTAGAAAAAAAAGAAAAACTCCGTTTAATCAAAATATTTCTCTACGATGATTGGTTCTTAGAAGCCTGACTATTATTAACATAGAATACTATAATACATACGTAATAGAACGGGGGAGTGGGCGGAGCCCGCTTAGGCACTAAAATGTAATATGTCAACACGAGATGTGTTTTGACACAATGTTTCAATCAAATTATTCAGAAAATGCCAAATTACACCCTATTTACAAATAAATATGTATTAAAATTTAAACGATTTTTTAATGATGATCTTGAACTAATCAAAAGCCTAAAATGTGTAAAGTTTTTGTCTGTCAACACAGCGAATCGGGTTTGGCGACGCCCTTCCTCGTACAAAATAAAGTTGACAGTCCAATAAGTTTCAGTTGAAATAAAATGCCAGTCATAAATAACATATGTGGTTGTGACTTAGTTGAGGGCAAATATTCATTTAAACGCCAACTGTTCAGTGATGTCACAGTGATCGCAAGGGTGAAAACTGGCAGCGATCACCGAATGGTTAGAGGCACACTGAACCTAAACGTTAAGTTGGAGAGGTCTCGTCTAATTCAACGCTCCGTCGTCCCTCGTGCTCTAATCCAGAATCCCGAAAACTTTCAGCTCGAGTTACGTAACCGCTTTCAGTGCCTACAAGATTGCAATGCATTGAATGATATGAATGACAAGCTCGTGGAAACTGTCCATGCGGTCGGAGCTAAGTTCTGCAAGACCCGCCGCAGAAGAACACAAAAACTCTCCGATCACACTCTTAATCTCATGGCTGTTAGACGGGAGATGAGGCTGCAATCGTCAACAGATTTGACAGCATACAGGCAACTGAACAGACAGATATCCAAATGCATGCGGCGAGACTTACGCAACTTTAATACTGCTCATATTAAAGATGCGATCGAGCGGAACCAGGGCTCCGAAGTCTTTACCCGAGATCTGTCTGCCAGAAAGAGCCAACTGTCAAAGCTGAAGGCTGAGTGTGGCAGCATCGTTTCCGGGACACCTGAGATTTTGAGTGAGATTGAGAGATTCTATGGGCAGCTGTACACATCATCGTTGGAGCCACACGCAAGTGTGAGTAACGATCCAAGAGCAAGTCTTATCCGACACTATCCCGATGATATCCCGGACGTCAGTCTGAGCGAGATTAGAATGGCTCTCCAGCACCTTAAAAACGGCAGGGCCCCAGGCGAGGATGGAATTACAGCGGAGCTTCTGAAAGCGGGTGGAACACCGGTAATTGAAGTCCTTCAGAAGCTCTTCAATTCCGTCCTCCATGGTGGCACTACACCAGAGGCGTGGAGCAGAAGTGCGGTGGTCTTGTTCTTTAAGAAAGGCGACAACGCTCTCTTGAAGATCTACAGACCGATTTCCCTTCTGAGCCGCGTCTCCGTGCTGTTTTCGAGAGTCATTACGAATCGTCTCGCACGCAGACTCGACGACTTCCAGCCTCCCGAACAAGCCGGTTTCCGAAAAGGCTTCAGTACCATAAACCACATACATACCCTGCGGCAGATTGTACAGAAGAACGAAGAGTAAAATCTGCCATTTTGCCTGGCGTATGCGGACTATGAGAAAGCCTTTGATTCCGTCGAAATTTGGGCGGTGCTACAGTCCCTTCAGCGATGCCAAGTTGACTGTCGGTATATCGAAGTGCTGAAGTGTTTGTACAGTAGGGCTACGATGGCTATCCGAGCACAGAACCAGAGCTCGAAACCTATCCAACTGCAGAGAGGTGTAAAACAGGGTGACCTTATATCCCCGAAACTCTTCACCGCTGCATTGGAAAACGTTTTCAAGCTACTGGACTGAAAAGGATACGGTATACCGTGTAAACATCAATGGCGAGTACATCAATCACCTTCGATTTGCCGACGATATAGTCCTTATGGCAGAATCGCTGGAGGACCTAAGCACTATGCTCTATGACCTCAATGGTGTCTCCCAACGGATAGGTCTTAAGATGAACATGGACAAAACAAAGATCATGTTTAATGTCCATGTCACACCTATGCCGGTAGTTGTTGGGAGCACTATGCTCGAAGTTGTTGACGAGTACGTTTACCTGGGACAAATAGTCCGACTAGGTAAGTCCAACTTCGACCGAGAGGTCAATCGACGGATTCAACTCGGCTGGGCAGCGTTCGGAAAATTACGACATATCTTCTCGTCAGGCATACCTCAATCTCTAAAAACTAGATTGTACAACCAGTGCGTGTTGCCAGTGATGACTTATGGATCTGAGACGTGGTCCTTCACTGCTGGCCGTATGAGGACGCTCAAGGTCGCTCAGCGAGCTATGGAGAGGGCTATGCTCGGAGTTTCGCTGCGTGATAGACTCAGAAATGAGGATATCCGCAGTAAAACCAGAGTGACCGACATAGCCCAACGGATTAGTAAGCTGAAGTGGCAATGGGCCGGCCATATAGCTCGTAGAACCGATAACCGATGGGGAAGAAAGGTTCTCGAATGGCAGCTTCGTACCGGTAGGCGTAGTGTAGGGCGACCCCCCACTAGATGGAGTGACGACCTGGTAAGATATGCAGGAAGTCGATGGACGCAGGTGGCTCAGGACCGTGCTTTGTGGCATTACTTGGGGGAGGCCCATGTTCAGCAGTGGACTTGTAAAGGGCTGCAATGATGATGATGATGATTCATTTAAAAGCAGATAATGTTATTAAATTCCATTACGAGAATGTGTACAAAAGTTCCAACTTACCAGTTCTTACTGAGATCTTTTGGGCGACCATACGGCCGCCTATCACAGCGAGGCCAGTGCAAAGTGCGTGTCCAAGAGATCCACCCACTACTACACCTACAGCATCTTCCCTGGTCGCCAAAACAACTGTCGCCAGCTGCGACCTGTCTCCCCATTCCGCAAGGAAAGTTAATGAAGCAGCTTGCAATAAGACTTTTATCACAGCGTTACGTTTTCTCCTTCTATTTTCTGCTTGACCTTGCTCCAACATATCGAGAGTTTCTTCTTTTTCGTCCTGTAATAATTGGAAAATTATTCAGTTATTATTTGACATTTCACTAATGTAATTTGTTGATACCTATATCATAATACGTATAACGGTTTGTTAAAGTCGCAAGCAAATTCGAGAATTTCATTAAAGTCATTTATGCATAAATTCATTATGAAAACTATTGATTTTTGTATAAAGAAATTACTGAAATTCATTATAGAAATTAAACGGGTATTGCAATCGAATTCCTTAATAGTATTAAACTATTAAGGAATTCTATTGCATTACCCGTACAATAAATAATTACACACGATTGAGATCGAGCTAAACAAAACATTTTTGAAAATGAGATTAAAAAAGCAAATAAAAATGGTTTTACAAATATTTTGAGATATCGTACTTGTTATCTATTTAACTTACTAACTTAATACGACAGTACGATATTAAATGTATCTACATACATGCCAAGCGCACTGTAAGGCTTTTATAATGATTCGATGGAATTACTTATTAGAAATTAAGATCTTATCTATGTAAAAGATAAATACGAGAGTTTTTCATACCCAAACGAGTTACTTAAATTAATTTAATAATAAGGTTTACAGTAAAATAAACTAAATGAAGCCCAGTCAGTTATAAAAATGAGATAAAAGAAATTTAAAGTTATTGAATGCTTCTGAATCTTGTGCATTTTTCTAGAATATAATATTTAACATCTATAAATCAAAATTCTCCCTAGGTATTTTTATTTGACTGATGGGGCTTTATAACATTAAAAAGCAATGGACTACTCAAATGCTGAATTCCTTTGTACATCAATCGAATATTATGAAGGCTTATTAAAAGCAAAATTTCGAACGTAAAGATGATATGGTCGGTGCAATAACGGAACGTAAAGAAGCTAAGCTAAACGAAAAGAAACTAAGGTGTCATTCGTACTGCCAGGCATAATGACGTAAGATCACCCTCAGCGGTTCAGACTGTGTAGAGGGGCCCGCTTGGGGCTCCTCTGGCATCTCAGGAACATCTGCTACAGGGGATTGCGAAGGCCCAGGACTTTCGGAACGGGCTGACTTCGTAGACACCGCGTCGGGCGAACTTGAACAATCTTTGGTAGGCTCCTGTACATTTTAATCTATATCATTCTAATGATGCGTTTCAATTACAAGAACCAATTTATTGCCATTTTCTAAATGTAACAAAAGGTATTCTTAACAATTAAATAAAGGAATTCAACATTTGTACATCTAAAGAAGTAGTTTGAAGATATCCTTTAAGGTGTAATTGGCATTAACCCAAAAACAAAATATATTATACCACATCAAAAACACATCTTCAATAAGATATTAATAATTTTTACGTCTCGAAGCCGGTCTCCGTTTTTAATTGATTAATTGTAGATCTAAATAGAACTGAAGATTAAAAGAAGTTGTACGTTTTTATATTTGGGAAAAAAACTATTCTATTCAATTGTAACAAGCGAGCACGCAGTCCACACCCGATGATGGTAAGTGGATGCTGTGGCCTATAGACATCTACATATTATATTCTCGGTTAAGAATCAAAATGCAGATTCGTTGTCACTCATGTGGCATGAGATAGAATGCCTCCGTATCAGTAAAAAGGGTCTCCGGTTCTCTACACTCACCGTCCTAAACTCAGCAGCATTGTTCTAAAGTTTCACGATGGTATCCTGTGAAAGCGTACGATCAGGTATGGTACTTCGCCAATCAAGTCGAGATATATTTTACACGTGGTAGAACCACTTGTAAAATATATCTGCTATGGCAGCTATATTATGGTTGTAGCACGAATGGGTCGGTTCTATCAGGGACGGACCACGCACTCACAGAATATCAGCGTAAATACATACATACATACATAAACACTCACGCCTGTCACCCAGAGGGGTAGGCAGAGACTACGGACTTCCATTTGGCACGATCCTGACATACCTCTTTCGCCTCTTTTACATCCATATATCTACGCATACATGCTCGTCGGTTAAGGGTACTTCTAACGTGGCCCATTTTCAAAATATCGCCAATTTGGTCGTAAAATAGAAGCTTAATACTGCTGTATTTTGTATGGTGGTGTAGAGATCCGGAGACCCTTTTTTTACTGGAAACGAGGCATTCCATCTAAGTCGTCAGGGGAGACAACGCATCTGCGTTTTGATTCTTAATCGAGGATATATGTAGATGTCTATGGGCCACAGCATCCACTTACCATCAGGTGGACTGTTTGCTCGTATGTCACTCTATTCTATAAAAAAATTCCAACTGCAGGCATTATATAGCTGCGGTATGGCTCTTCCACAAATAATAAACTGTAATATGGTTGTTGTCCCATGTTGTTACGTGTCTCTTGCACGAAGCTTCCCGAACGTGGTCGACACTATTCCGATGCGTACATCGATCTCTGCATTATGTGAAAGATTGCTCGTCATTGTCGAACCTAAATAGCAAATCCTGTCGACTACGTGGAGAGGGTTGCCACTAAACTGTATGACTGGGTTTTCTACAATCCCATGGACAAGCATCATCGTTTTTCCGGCAAAAATAGACATACAAAACAGATCAATGTTTGTCACGGTCTGAAGCTATGAGACGTTGTTACTGCTGCAATTTTCTTTGAATAAAAATATATACATAGCACATATACATCTCTCTTCGACCGTGTAGGATTGCCGTCCCATTGGAATGTCAGTCATAATTATCGTTCATTATCACACCCCTCCACAAGTCCACTGCTGAACATAGGCCTCCCCCATGATATGCCACAAAGCACGGTCCTGAGCCACCTACATCCATTGACTTCCTGCATGTCTTACCAGATCGTCACTCCATCTAGTGGCGCCGCCGTGACGTCTTACACTTCGCCTGCCTGCACGAAGCCGGTACTAGGAATCTGAGTGTGTGGGAATAAATAATAAACCTGTGCTTCCGCACACACTCGTGCACTATAATCCTGTTCTGCGCTAGATGTTTAGTCTCCATTGAATTGAGATGAGACTACATTTAATAGTAGATACGTAAACAATGCAGAGCTGATTATAGACATTCGTGTAGGTTTTCCGTTCACCAGCCTTAACATGCAGGCCTTATATCTAAGATTGTAATATTTCCGTTACGGCCTGAGTTTAGATGTGTTACAAAAAAGATTGGTTTCGCAAAAACTGGTCAGGTGACGATATTTTCTTCACAATATCAATTTCAACAGCATCGAGCATATTATACCAGTGCAGCTATTAGTGTATCGGGGCGATAAGACTAATTTTCATAAATATTGTGTAAACACACTTCGGTTTTACCAACCAGTTTACCAACTACAGATTTACACACTACTAGATGGCCAAGCAGACGTTGTCCTGATCTATCCGACGACCCTTTGGTCATATAAAAAATCATTAGATTCGTAATAATACACATCTAGGGCATCGATCACTAACATTAGATTCGTAATAATATACATCGTGCATGTCAATATACATCGAGGGCATCGATCACATACCGATGATCGAGGGCGACTTATTGGCATAAATACGATCCTATCTCTCAAGTTGGACCAAAATAAAAAAGATATTGAAATCAATTCAGTAGTTTGGGGGTTTATCGCGGACAAACAACGTGACACGTAATTTTTATATATAAAGATGTAGCGCTTGAAACACTGTTATCACCGTCAATCTTAATGCACGTAGTACGTGTGACTCCTGTACGGTATTCCTTGTGTATGTTTGCATTCGAACCACAACTAGTATTGGCTTTATAATCATACAAAGTATATTTGAAAAGAACAGCCTGACGACAATCCTTTATGACTCTAACGTGGTAGAGCCATGCTGCAATTATATTAGTAGTATAGTTGTAGCACGAATGGGTCGGCTCGACCGGGGAAGGACCACGCTCTCACAGAATACCAGCGTGAAATAGTAGCTTAATGCTGCTGTATTTCGTATGGTGAGTGTAGAGAACCGGAGACCCTTTTTACTGGAAATGAGGCATTCCATCTCAGTCCTCACGGGTGACAACGCATCTGCATTTTGATTTGTAATGGAAGATAGATGTAGATGTCTATGGGCCGCAGCAACCACTTACCATCAGGTGGACTGTGTGCTCGTTTGTCACCCTATCCTATAAAAAAAAAATGAGCACAAGCTAACCCCTTTTCTTTTAAGACCAGAACTTTATCTTTTTAAAGAATACAAGTGCTAAACGAGCACACAGTCAGTCACCTGATGGTAAGAGGATGCTGTGGCGCATAGGCATGTGCATTTATTCTCTATTAAGATTCAAAGTGCAGATGCGTTGCCACTCCTGAGGACTAGGATGTAATGCCTCGTTTCCAGTTAAAAGTGTCTCCGGTTCTCTACACTCACTTACGAAGCGGACTCGACCACGTAAACTCTTTGAGAGCGTGGTCCAACCCCGCCAAGCCAACCCATTATAATAACTACTAAACTATAATAGAAAAACTAGACTATAATATAGCTGGAGCGTGGTTCAACCACATAAATTCTGCGAGAGCGTGGCCCTACCACGGTCGAGCCAACCCATTCGTGCTACAACCATAATATAACTGCAGCGTGATTCTACCACGTAAATTCTGTGAGAGAGTGGTCTCTACCACGTAAATTCTTTGAGAGCGTGGTTCTAGCCCGGTCGAGCCAACCCATTCGTGCTACAACCATAATATAGCTGCAGCGTGATTCTACCACGTAAATTCTGTGAGAGAGTGGTCTCTACCACGTAAATTCTTTGAGAGCGTGGTTCTAGCCCGGTCGAGCCAACCCATTCGTGCTACAACCATAATATGGCTGCAGCGTGATTCTACCACGTAAATTCTGTGAGAGAGTGGTCTCTACCACGTAAATTCTTTGAGAACGTGGTTTTAGCCCGGTCGAGCCAACCCATTCGTGCTACAACCATAATATGGCTGCAGCGTGATTCTACCACGTAAATTCTGTGAGAGAGTGGTCTCTACCACGTAAATTCTTTGAGAACGTGGTTCTAGCCCGGTCG